GCCGGGCGTGCGGGGCGCGAGCCCGGGTCTCCGGCGTCGCCGCCGCCTCCACCTTCCAGCGGGGAGAGCGGCTGTGAGCGGCGCGCCCCGCCGTCCCCGCGCGTCCCTCCCACAGCCTGACACCGGTGGGCCCCCGAGGAACGGCCCGCTCTCGGAGGTGTTTGCCGCTTGTTAGTTATTTCCGGGTGCCGGGGACGGGCCAGGGCCTTTCACAGGCTGGGCAGCCGCTCGCCAGAGCTACTGCCCAGCTCCTTTTACTTTTCGTTCTGAGACAAAGTCTCTCTAAGTTGCCCTGGCTGGCCTCAGATGCAAAAGCCTCCGGAGTAGCGGGAATGACGGGCGTGAGGCTCCGCCCTGTGAGATGTTTATAGTTTAACCTGAATAACCCTTGCCAGAGGAGGGCTAGTGGCTCCTCCAGCTTCTTTTTTTTTTGTCTTTTTGAGACAGGGTCTCGCTATGCAGTTCAGGCTGGCCTTGAGCTCACTTTGTAGCCCAGGCTGGCCTCGAACTTGCAGCGATCCTCATGCCTCAGCCTCCTGAGTACTGGGATTACAGATGTGCGCCACCACGCCCAATTTTTCCAGCTTCTTGCTGTGTGATCTTGGGGACCTGCCTTCACCTCTCTGGGCCTTCTCCTTCCCTTCTGCTGAACATTAGGCCAGGAAACACTTACCACCACAGTGCACGCAGGTCTCTCAGCACATCCTGGGTGACTGTCCCAGTTGGGAAAGGGGACCTGGAGCTTCTGCAGCCCTTGAGCCATCCCTTACCCTGTGGTGATTACCTTACCCAGGGTAGGGGACAGAGGGGACAGGTCCTACGAAGACAGTGGTGACATAATTATAGGGCGGTTGCCTGGCTTGGTGGCGCACTCCGATAATCCCAGCACTCTGGGAGGCTGAGGCAGAGGGATCATACATTCAAACCCACCCAGGGCAACTGGTAACTTAGTGAGGCCTTGTCTCAAAATGAAAAATAAAAAGGACCTGGCATGTAGCACAGTGCAAGGGCCCTGGGTTCTATCCCCAGTATCTAAAGAAAGAAATTATAAGTTATGTCAAGATGACAGTAAGAAATTGAGGAATGAAGAAGCCAGGTCTGGAGATGCACACCTGCCATCCCAGCACTCTGAGGCTGAGGCAGGAGGATCACCATGAGTTCCAGGCCAGCCTGGACTCCAGACTGTGTTTGAGTGCAGCCTGGTTTATTCAGTGAGACCTTGTCTCAAAAGCCAAAGCCCAAACCAAAGAAAACAAACAAAAAAAGACACTGAGGAAGGAAGAGGCCAGCTGGGGTGGGGGACACAAAGGACGTCACCACTCCAAGGTCAGGGAAGGGCTCAGGGCCTCATTTCAAAGAAGCTTGGGGGTTTTGGGGGGTCCTGGGTGTGCCCAGACTTGGGACCATCCCCCAGTCCTGGGACGGTCTGGTCAGGGCCACTTGGTGGGTGACGTGTCACTTTGCTGTGTTTGCAGGGTTCGGCCCTTTTGGGGAGCACACAGTGAATGCCAGCTGGATCGCAGTCCAGGTAACTCAGATTTGGGGGAGTCGACCTGGAGCAGGGCTCCTGCTGGCCACATCTGGCACCCAAGAAAGTCTCCTCTGAGATACTGAAGGCTACACACACATCAGATTGTAGCCAGCACCAAGCATGCTGGTTGAGTTTGTGTTTTGGGGGCCTGGCCTTCCTGAATTCCCCAGCCACCCCTCATGGTGATTACAGGTTATTTTTTTTTTCGGGGAGGGGGGTTGAGACAGGGTCTCATTACGTAGCCCAGGCTGGACTCAAGCTTGGAACAATCCTCCTGCCTCAGCCTCCTGAGTGCTGGGATGACAGGCATCCGCCAGCACCCTCGGCCAGTAGCAGGCTATTCTTGGAGTGGGGTATCTTTGACCTTGGAGGAGGGGGCACAGCGACCCTTGCTGTCACCTCCCAGCCACCCCTGCATACTAATGGCAGGGGGAGGGGTGGCTTTCCGGGTGTCCCCAGCCTGTGGGATCTTCCCAGTCTCTTACCAGATGGGCACAGGGTGGGTTGGTGGGGGGAGACTGGGGAACAATGAACAGAGGCAGAAATGTTTCTCCTTTTATAGAACTCGGCTTGGCAGTGGCCAGACTATTAGTCTGGCCCATTGGCTGGCTGATTTAAAGTGGCCCCCGCTTCCCAGCCCAGCCTCCTGCCTTTGCTGGGAGACCCAAGCCGGAACCCCATTATCTGACCTTCCCACCCCCGCCTCAGCGCCCCGCCCTGGGTTTTTCCAGCCCCTCCGGTGGGGAGCAGCACGGAGGGCCGGGCGGGGACCCGCAGATGGGACCGTGTCCCTGCGCGGCCCGAGCCAGAGACAAAAAGAAACAGCGTGTCTCTGCAGACTCCTGTGTCGGGCTTTGTCAGGTTTCAGACAGGAGCCTTCACGGGGCTCAGGGACACAAAGCGGAGCGTCTGAATTCCTGGGCCCAGGCGCTGCATCTGCATGTAAATAGGAGAAAAATCAATTAAACAATCTTTGGAAATCCTCCGAGCTTTGGGGTCGGCGGCTGGCGGAGGCGGGCGGCTTTTCCTCCTCCCCTGCCCCAGCGCCGCCGCGGTCCGCTCTTCTGCTCTTTGCTGAAGTTGGTGACAGAGGACGCGTCCCCCTCGGCTGGCTCTGGGGAAAGGGAAGCTCAGCTGCTCCGGTCCGATCATTTCCCTTTAAGAACTAAACCCTCTGGAGCCCAAAGATGCCTACGGGGTGCTCCCGTCTGTATAATCCAGGGACTTCTGGGTTTTTGTGCTGGTTTCTGAGACAGGGTCTCGCTATGTAGCGCAGGCTGGCCTTGAAGTGGTCTCAAACTCGAAGCAATCCTCCTGCCTCAGCCTCCACATCTCTTCCTCAAGAAAATATACCGGGCACACGTGTGCGCAGTGTCTTTCAGAAGCCGTCACAGACTGTGTCTGTCGCCTCCACCCAGGGTGCCAGCCGAGGACACCTCTGCCCTGCCTCAGTTTTCAAAGCCCAGGCCGCGTGTGTAAGGGTCCTCCTCTCCGGACAGCTGCCTTCTCTCTCTGCGGCCACCTTCTGCGCTGGGGATAGAGCTGGGAGCTGAGTCCTGTCTGCCCTCTGACACCCTCAGCCTCTTGACATCACTTTAGGACCCTCACACTGCGCTGACCCCAGCTCTTTTCATTTTCTGAGACAGAATCTGGCTAAGTCACTAGGTTATGCAGCTTGGCTCCAACTTGCCAGCCTCCTGCCTCAGCCTCCTGAGTAGCCGGTGTGCACCACCGCCTGGGCTCTGTACATCCTTCTTCTCCTCTCCGTCCCTCTCCCTCTTCCCCTCCTCTGCTCCACTCCGAAGAGCTTGCACCCACACAGGGTAGGGGCAATTGTGGGGAGGCAGAGGGGGCGTACTGTTCTGTTTTTCCCAGCACCCCATTCCCCACATGTCCGGTTGCCCAGGTCCTGGGGGCGGCTGGGCCCAGGTGGGTGTGAGGCCAGGACGCCCGGGGCTCCGCCCTCTGGAGCAGTCCCGCAGGAGCAGGTCACAGAGCGCAGCGACATCCGGGACAATTAGGGCACAGGCAGTCTAGACAGACCTGCTAAGGATGTTACGGACAAAACAAAGAGCGCCTTTGTCGTGGGGTCAAGGGAATCGGTCAGCCGCGCGGGGCACGGGCGTGCTCAGGTGGGCCGTGGGCACCCAGCCGCGGCCTGTACCGCGTGTGTGTGGGCGGCCAGGGCGCGGGGCTCGGGTACGCCACGCCCCTCCCCGAGTTGGAAGCACAGGCTGGCCACGGAGCCACATGACATCCACGGGTCCTCGCAGCTCCGTGCGGGCTTTCTGGCTGTGCCCACCCTGCTGCCCTTTAAAAAATGGACACCAAACGGCATGGCGGCGCACGCCTGTCATCCCAGCACTCAAGAGGCTGAGGCAGGAGGATCGCCGAGAGTTTTGAGGCCAGCCTGGGCTACATAGCGAGGCCCCGTCTCAAACATAATAAAGCGACTCTCTGTGATTCTGTCAGGGCACAGCTCCTGCTGTCCGTTGTGGACCCCGGGCATGGCAGTGGCGGAGGCGCAGCAGCTGGGGCCTGAGGCTCTTGCCCTGGGCCTTGGTGGTCCCAGAAGGCCTCCGAGGTGGCTGCTGGTCCCTGTCCCCACATCCTCCTCCCAGCGTTGGGGCCACTGCACTGATGTGCTTGGGGGTGGCCAGGCTGGGGCAAGGCCCCCGTGGGTGCCCTGGACCCCCTTTTTCTTTTATTTTGATGCTAAGAATGGAACCCAGGAGTGCTCTGCCACTGAGCTGCACCCCCAGCCCTTGTTATTTCATTTTATCTTATTTTTATTTTCTTGGTACTGGAAATTGAAGCCAGGGCCCTTGGACTGAGCTGAAACCCCGAGCTCTGTTTTTATTTTTTAATTTTGAAACAGAATCTCACTAAGTCACTAAGTTGCCCAGGCTGGGCTCAAACTTTCCATTCTCCTGCCTCAGCCTCTCAGAGTGCTAAGATTATACGCATCACCATGCCTGGCTATGCAGCTCTTTTTATTAATTTTCAGTTTTGAGACAGGGTCTGGCTAAATTTGCCCAGGCTACACTAGGCTTCATGATATATGTCTGTCATCCAAGCACTTAGGAGGCTGAGGCAGGAGGATTGCCATGGGTTGGAGGCCAGACTGGGATACCTAGTTCAGGAGCAGCCTAAACTGCATAGCAAGACCTTGTCTCAAAAAGCAAGACGAAATGAGAAGTTGCCCAGACTGACCTGGACCTTGAGATCCTCCTGCCTCAGCCTCCCGAGTGCTGGGATTACAGGCGTGCGCCACCACGCCCGGCTTGTCTTGCTTTTCTTAAGCACAGGCTTCTGTTCTGGTTTGAGAAGTGGCCCCTGCCACGGTTCTTGTTTTGTTTTCTGAGTTTGTAAAACATTGACTTGGTTCCCAGTGGGCCCAGCCTGTTCCCTCTTTGCCCAGAAGGTGGCGCCATCTTGCCATGGCACACCCGGAAATACTTCATTGTCAGTCCCTAAAATTTAGTTTTGGTAAAGTCCAGTTTATCTTCTTTTTTGTTGTTCTTTTTGGCGTGGTGCTGGGAGTGGAGTCCAGAGACCCGCTCATGTCAGGGAGGTGCTTTACCACTGAGCTGCACCCTCGGCCCCATTTTCTGCCCCACAAGGTGAGGTCTCACTAGGTCACCTAGACTTGCCTTAAACTCCTTGGCTCAGGCTGTCCTCCTGCCTCAGCCTCTCAAGTAGCAGGGACTACACAAATCTACCTCCATGTCTGACTTGCTCTCCATATTTTTTCTTTTGTCATTGCCTGTGGGCTGTGTGTCTTTTGATTTGTCTTGTTTGTTCATTTTGTTTCTCACTAGGCAGTTTTGGCTGGCCTTGACCTCAGCTGTGTAGTCCAGGCTGGCCTCAAATTCGAGGTGAGGCGATCCTCCTGCCTCAGCCTCCCGAGTGGAGAGCTGAGATGACAGGTGTGGGCCACCATGGCCACCATGGGATTTGTCTTTAGGAGAGAAAAGGGCTCAGGGCTCGCGGTCTCAGCCAGTTTCTCTTGCTTGCAACTCAGCACAGCGAGCGTATTTTGGTGCACAGCCCCGGCCAGGCTTGGAGGCCGCGTCTGGTGCCTGCAAAGCCCCCAGGCCCCGGCTGGGGTCTCAGGGCGGGAGTCGGACGTGTGGGCGGGGCCTGTCCACCGTGGCTCTGCGGGTGTCCTGCTCTGGAGAACCGATGAGCCATCAGCTGTCGGGCAGCCTCCGTCCGCACTCGCAAAGGGCCCACCTCCCTCATGTGTCTGTTTTGTTTGGTGGTGCTGGGAATGGAGCCCAAGGCCTGGCGCAGGCTAGGCAGGGCTCAGCCCCGCCCCTTCTACATTCTGAGACAGGCTGTCACTAAGCCACGGAGTGGCCCACGCTGAGTTTGAACTTGAGAGCCTCCTGCCTCAGCCTCCTGGATTTCAGAGGTGTGCTGCGGAAGCCAGCCAAGAGACAAGATCTCACTTTGTAGCTCAGGCTGGCCTCTAACTCCTGCGCATCCTCCTGCCGCGCCTCCCGAGTGCTGGGATGACAGCCACGCGCCATGCGGTGCCGGGCCGAGCTCTGGGACCCTCTGAAAGCCCCTCCCACCTGCTGTTGTTGGAAGCTCCCTGAAGTGTCGGGTGCACCTGTGAGCCACCACCACGCCTGAGAAGAGTCCACCGAGCCCGCGGGCTCACCCTGTCAGCTCAGCACTCAGTAGCCTGAGGCAGGAGGATCGCTGGGAGCTAGAGGCTGGCCAGCGCCTTAGTCCTTAGCACCTCTCCCGGGGGCTAAGTGCTTCGTTGTCCCTTTCTACAGACAGGAAACGGGCGCTCAGAGGTTCCGTGTCCTTCCGGGGGTTACACAGGCAGGGCCACTCCCAGCAGGCTGCAGAGACAGCGCCCGATGCCTTCCAGGAGAGTGGGCAGCGGGCGACCCTGCCGCCTGGGCCGGGTCAGGACGCGGCGCCGTGACGCCCTCTGCCTCCCCAGGAGCTGGAGAAGCTGGGCCTGGGGGACAGCGTGGACCTGCACGTGTACGAGATCCCGGTGGAGTACAAGACGGTACAGAGACTCATCCCCGCCCTGTGGGAGAAGCACAGTCCGCAGGTGAGTGTTGCGTGTGGCCCGGGAAGGAGGTGTGCCCAGGCCTTGCTCTGAGCCCGGCCCCAGCTCTTCTTTCACTTAGTTGCCTAGGCTGGACTTGAACTTGAGGTCCTCCTGCCTCAGCCTCTCAAGTCTGAGATTATAGGCATGGATTGCTATGCCCAGGTGTTTTTCTTTTCTTTCTCTGTCTGTCTCTCTCTGTTTTTTTTTTTTTTTCTCCTTGAAACAGGGTCTGACTATGCAGTTAAGGCTGGCCTTGAACTTGAAGAAATCCTCCTGCCCCAGCCTCCTGAGTGCTGGGATTATAGGCATGTGCCACTTAGCCCAGCTTCCCTCCTTTCCTGGGGCTGGGGTGGAGCCCAGGGCCCCCACATGTGCTAGGCCAATACTGCGCCGCTGAGCTGCACCCCAGCCAGGAGTCTTGGTTCTAAGAAGCCAGCTCCTGCGGCCCAGCCCGAGCCACCTTACCTTTCAGAGGGACCCTGGTTCTGCAGCTGTGCTTCAGCCTCCACTGTAACCCTGCAGGTGAAAAAATAAAGTGTGCTCCAGTCACATGTTGCGTAAGGACAGATCCATTCCAGGAGGTCAGCAGACAATTGCGTCATTGTGCATACGGCCAGAGCCGCTGCCTGGCCCGGGTGGCTCAGCCACTCCAGGCCGGGGCTTTCCTCTTCCTTCCTTCCTTCCCCACCTTTTTTTTTTTCCACAGCCCACCCCCTGATCTAAATTGAATTTAATTGTTTTTGAAGCAGGGTCTCCCCATGGCCCAGGCTGGCCTGAATTCACTGTGTAGCCCAGGCCAATCCTCCTGCCTCAGCCTCCCCAGTGCTGGGATGACAGGGTGCACCATCAAGCCCAGCCCAGCCTAAATTCTAAATATTGACAGGGTTGTTTACAGTGCATACAAAAGGCAAGTGGAAGTTAAGCTATTCAGTTTGGAACCCTGCTTTTTAAAAGTACTGTATCGTAGGCATTTGTTGACCTAAGTCATTAAAATTTCTTTAAAAATTACATTTAAAAACATTTTAGCCAGGCATGGTAGCGCACACCTGTTAACTCAGCACTTAGGAGGCTGAGGCAGGAGTATCGCTGTAAGTGTGAGGCCAGCCTGGGCTACATAGTGAGACCCTGTCTCAAAAAACAACAACAAAAAAAAAACCCTAACCAAATAGCTAAATAAGTAAATACATAAATAAAAACATTATTTTCAGGGTAGGGTACTTTTTTGTAATTAGCATACCTGTTGTTTAATTGTTGGACACACACATTTTCTATGCTTTTAATTGCTTTTTTGTTTTGAACATCACTTTTTGTAAATAACACTGAAGTGACTGTCTTTCTCACGTTTGGTAAATTTTAGGCTACATCTGTGAAAGTTACACCTGGATTTTCGCACTTGGCTGTTAGGGGTATGATCAAAAAATGGTGGTTGTTTAAAAAGACATTTAAAAGACACATACTTAAAAGACATCCCCTGGGAATGCTCCGCAATGCTTCAAACACACATATCCCAGCGTCCTGCCCACTTTCCACAGCAGCTCTGGAGTCCCCTTTCGTGCGTGTCTTTAGCTCCACTGTCATGCTGCCGTGAGGCCCTGAGTGGATCACGTGTTTATGCGCATGGTCATGTTGACACTGGGGAGGAGCCCAAAGCCGTCTGGCCCAGATCTGGTGAGCGGTGCAGATGAGGACAGCACTGTTTGCTTATGGACCGGCCTTTCCAAGGGATGGCACGTGGTAGCATCATTCACCTTTTTTTTTTTTTTTGGTACCGGGAATTGAACTCGGGGCCTTGTGCTTGCTCTCCCCAAGGTTATTTTTTATCACGCCTCGTAAGCTTGTACGAAAGCAGCTCCCAGAGCTGCTTCAGAAAGTGGCAAGAAAAAAAAAAAAAAAGAAAGTGGCAAGAATGACCGGATAAATGGTTGAAACCAGAGGGGAGATTTCCATGGGGATTCATGACAATGTGTCTTTCTTGTACTAACATTAAAAATTTAAGGACCAGGGATGTAGCTCTGTGGTACAAGCCCCTGCCTGACAAACGCAAGGTCCTGAGCTCAATCCCTGGTACCAGAAAATGAAAAAAGAAGAAAAAGAAAAATTAAGCATTCACCATATCTACCCATCTATCTATCTATCTATCTATCTATCTTTCTTTCTTTCTTTCTTTTGTCCTTTTGAGACAGGGTCTCGCTATGCAATTCAGGCTGGCCTTGGGCTCACTTTGTAGGCCAGGCTGGTCTCGAACTTACAGCGATCCTCCTGTCTCAGCCTCCCAAGTCCTGGGATTACAGGCGTGTGCCACCTCGCCCCACTCACCATATATTTCAATCACCATGTGTGTCCCCTGGAGATCATTCCCTCTAATGCCACATTTTAACAGCTGCACTGTTGCTAATTTTCTTAACCCCCTATCCCCACCCCTGCCCCTGATTTTGAGTGGCTAAACTGTTTCTAGTCTTCTATTGTAACTGCAAACAAAGCTGCTCCTTCACACCTTTGCCTGTTTCGCAGGGCAAACATTTCTGCACGAGTGGCTACAGGGTCTGCTCCAGCAGCAAGAGGTCAGAAACCTTTGACCCAGGCAAAGCTCAGTGAAGACGCCACTTTCTCCTTGGCCTGGGGGCACCCCCGGTGCCCCAGCCAGGCCCTGCTAAACCCTCCCTATCGATCTGCAGCTGGTGGTGCATGTCGGGGTGTCGGGCATGGCGACCACGGTCACGCTGGAGAAATGTGGGCACAACAAGGGCTACAAGGGACTGGACAACTGCCGCTTCTGCCCCGGTTCCCAGTGCTGTGTGGAGGACGGGCCAGAAAGCATCGACTCCATCATCGACATGGATGCCGTCTGCAAGAGGGTCACCACGCTGGGGCTGGACGTGTCGGTGACCATCTCGCAGGATGCCGGCAGGTAGGGCGCGGTGGGCCTGTGGGCGGTGTGGGCAGGGCACCCCGTCCCCCGCCGAGCGCAGTGTTGTGGGCCTTCGGGGGCCGAGGGCACCGATCCCTCTGTGTCTGAGTTAGCTGCTGTGGCTGTAACAAAACGCTGGAAGGGTTCAGCTGCAAGGCGCCGCCTGATCGGTCTCTGAACCACTCGGTCGGGGACCGGCTTTCAACGCAGGACCTTCTGGACCTTGAGCGCGTCTGGAGGTCCTAGAAGGGGCGCACAGCTATCTATACCCTCGTCCTCCTCGACGGAGCGCGCAGCTCCGGGAGGGACGCAGGTGGAGCGGGAGGGAGGAAGGGGCACCCGCCCGCCGGCCAGAGCAGCTGAGTCCACCCAGGAGATCGCCCTCACACCCAGGTACAAGCAAGCAGGAGCTTTGGAGGACATTTCAGGTGGGAACCATGACTAAGTTTGCACACCTGCAGAGTCAGCCAGCAGACGTGCCTCTGCAGTGAGCGCAGACACTTGTCATTTCTTCTCTGCACAACCCAATATAACGTGTGTGTGTGTGTGTGTGTGTGTGTGCTGGGGGTGTCAAACCCAGGGCCTCACGCTTCCTGGACAAGTTCTCTACAACTGAGTTACGCCCCAGTCTGTTTTATCTTGTTTTGAGGCTGGGTCTTGCTAAGGTGTCGAGACCGGCCTCAGACTTGTGCTCCTGTTTCCATAGCCTCCCAGGTAGCTGGGATTGCAGGCACTCCCCGTGTTGCCTGGTTTAGTATAATGATTCTTGCTGGCCTTGGGCGTGCACACCTGTCATTCCAGTATTCAGGAGGCTGAGGCAGGAGGACTGCCCTGAGTTCAAGGCCAGCCTGGGGTACATAGTGAGTTCAAGGTCAGCCTGAACTACAAAGCAAGACTGTCTCAAAACAAAAAAAAAAAAAAGAAAGACTGACTTCGGCTCACGTTTGTGAGGACCCGGTCCGGATTAGTTCCCCTCATGCTTTTGGGCCCGCCCAAGGCCGAGCATCGCGGTGGAGCAGCAGAGGGACCCTACACGCTCACATCAGGGAAAGCAGCTGGGAGCCCAAGGCGAGAGAGTGGGCGGGGCAGGTCTTTGTAGCTGCTCCAAGGCCACGCCCCCAGTAACCTCACTGCCTCCCACTAGGCCCCGCCTCTTAAAGGCTCCACTACCTCCCAGTAGTGCCCCTGCCAGAGGCGAAAGCCCGCAGCATACAGCACAGGCTTTGGTGGACGCTACATAGTGAGTCCTGACCCCGGCCTGCGCTCGCTCTCTCGCCCCATCTGTGGCCTAGGTACCTCTGCGACTTCACCTACTACACCTCGCTGTACCAGAGCCATGGCCGCTCGGCCTTCGTGCACGTGCCCCCGCTGGGCAAGCCCTACAACGCGGACCAGCTGGGCCGGGCGCTGCGGGCCATCATCGAGGAGATGCTGGACGTCCTGGAGCAGTCGGAGGGCAAAATCAGCTGCTGCCACGAACACTGAGGCCTCGGCTGCCCTCAGCCTTGTCGAGGACGAGGACAAGGACAAGCCCACCAGCCGCAGGTCCGACTTCCCACCTCTTCCTGTGCCTCAGCAGCGCCAGGCTGATTTGAGGGAAGTGGCCTGAAGATTGTTTTCCTGTCTCCCTGCGGTGCCACAGCTAGGGCCGCCCACCGTCTGCTTGTCCAGGTTTGTGGAGGGTGACGGAGCTCGGAGTCTCCCTGTCCCTGCCTGCTGTGATCTGAAAGTTGCATCAGGAACCTGGTCCCGAAAGCATGTCTCCAAAGAGGGGCAGCCTCACACAGGGCCAGCTTTCGGATCGGCTGGTTTCCCTTCCTTTTTTTTTGTCTTTTTGAGGCAGGGTCTCGCTATGCAGTTCAGGCTGGCCTTGAGCTCACTTTGTAGCCCAGGCTGGTCTCGAACTCGCAATGATCCTCCTGCCTCAGCCTCCAGACTACAGGTGTGCATCACACTGCCTGCTCTTTTGCTTTTCTTTCTTTTCCCTCCCACCCCCGACCCCAAAGCAATAGTGCTACTTCTGGGACGCAGTAATTTATACTCCCTTTGGTTAAAACGCTGGCTTTGGCCAACAACAAGTGTCTTTTCCCTAAGGTGTGGCCTCTTTTGCCTCCTGCCCGAAACTGAACCTCAGACTTGACACCTCTGTTTTAGGACTGAGAGCGGGGTCCCCTTGCTCTGAGTGGTGGCACCCAGGTGCAGCCACAGAAGACTTGGTCCTCTAGACCTGAGCGGGGCACAGTCCCCGGGGCCCCCGGGACCTGCAGGAGCGCAGATCCTGTCTGCCCGGGAGTCTTTACAAGTACACGGACACTTGCGGCCGCGGAGCCCTGCCTGGCCGGGGGATGCTGCAGCCGGCCTGCCCCGGCATGTCCGGGGACGGCTTCTGGCCACTCGCCCAGAGCCGGGAGTCAGTGCTGATCTTGCCTCTTGCCGACTTTGAACTCAGCGGGCACGGGATGTGGGGTGATGTCACTCCGGACAGCTCAGTGCGGCCGGCCTTGACACTGGGCCGGAAGCCGGGAGCGGGTCACGCAGTACTTCGGGGAGCCGCCGCAGCCTGTTCGGAGGAGGAGCTCTTCCCTTCTCCCGCGCCCCTCCACCGACCGCTGCCCGGACGCGGCCGGTCGCGGTCGCTGTCTCCCTCGCGGTTGCGCTGCCCCGGGGGGTCCCGGCGAGTGGGCGCCGGGGACGCACGGCTGCTGGCCCGGCCTTCTCCGCTGGGCGCTGGTGGGGGATGCAGTTGGCCCCTGGCAGCGGTGTGAGCGTGACCAGCGGGTAAACTGGGGCGCGCTCTCCCCCTGGAGCCAGACACCCCCCTCCGGCGTCGCCCCCTGCGGGTCCCCAGCCTGAGCGCCGTCTCCTGAGACGCCCCGCCTCTGCTCAGCCGGCTGTGCGCACGGAAGCAGTGGTCCTCGGGGTCTGAGGAGACTTGGGGCTCACGTCTCGCTGCCCCCCGAGGTCCTCGCGGGCAGAGGGGAGCAGGGAGGCGCCGGGCCCCGACTCACGCTCCGACTCCGCCGTCCTCTCCCCAGCCCGGGACCACTGGCCGCTCGCTGTGGAGCGTGTGCGCGTCCTCCTCCGCTCCTTCGGCCCCTGCACCCCTTGCACGTGTCTTTGCCGGCTTTTTATGTCCTCCTTTTCTTTCGGTTTCTGTTTTTTACCTCTGGGGAAGCCGCTGCCCTCTCCACGCCCATCTCTGTCCCCGCATCTTGGCCTCAGATGTCCGCGTGAGAAGGGAGGACCGGGTCACCAAGTCACATCCCTCGCCGTCCCTCCCGTGTCTGGGGACGCGGTGCGGGTGGCGGGGACAGGCGTGCGGTGTGGCCGGCCGTGGTCTCGGTGGCCGCGGGGTGCGAGCAGGGCCGGTGGCAGGAGAGCAGACGCCAGGGGAGAGGCGGCGGCACCCCGCCAGCCCTGTGCCTCGTGGGGGGCCGCGGAGGGCGGGGGGCTCTCGGAAGACGCCAGCCGAGGAGAGCAGGAGCGGGGTGCTGGCGCCGGAGCCGGGTCCGCCTGGCTAAGCAGCTGCAGGCGCGGGGGCCCCGCCGAGCACAGCGCAGAGGAGGCCGGCAGGGGCAGCTCGGTGAGGAGCGGGGTGGCTGGCCCCGTCCTTGCTAGTTTCAGGGGCACGGGGGCGGGAACCCAGGGCTTCACGCTGGGTACACCCCAGCCCTTTTTATTTTTCATTTTGAGTCAGGGTCTCAGAGTCACTAAGTTGCCCAGGCTGGGCTTGAACTCCCGGCCCTCCTGCCTCAGCCTCTGAGTGCTGGGATGAGGGGCGTGCACCCCCTGCGGGCTCCGGGACGCCTGTGGGTGTGAGAAGTTTGTGCCCAGAAGCCAGGCCAGCTGGCGTGTGTGCCCGCGCCCCCACAGTGCCCTGGGGTGCAGCGGCTGCGGAGACGGTTGACCTTTGCCCTCCCCTGCCCGTGCGGTCTGAACCTGGAAATCCCCTGGAGGGCAGAGCAAAGCCCTGTCCTCTGGGCCCCCATTCACTGCCCGGAGCCTGCTGGGCGTGGAGCGCTGGGCAGCCCCTGACCAGCAGCCCAGTAGGACAGCAGCAAAGGGCTTTGCCTTTCTCCCTGGTGGGAGGGACTTCTCTCCCTTTTATTCTTGGTTTTGGGGCCCAGAGCCTCAGGTGTGCCCACAAGCACTTGGCACTGAGCCGCACCCCAGCCCTTTGGAAACATTTTATTTAGAGACCGGGTCTTGCTGTGTTGCCCAGGCTGGCCTGGCGCTCAAGATCCTCCTGCCTCAGCCTCCCCATTAGCTGGGATGACAGAAACACCTTTCCTCATCTTGAGGAACTCTCTCCCCACCCCCAGAGCTGGCCCTGCCCTGGGCTCCCCGCACGGGGTGTCCCGGGCCTGGGAGCCGGCTCCGCCTTCAGCCTGCCCCCCAACGTCTCAGGATTTTCCCCCCTGCTAAAGTCTCTCCGGCAGAAACCCTTGCTGCCGAAGGCGACTGCGATTTCTGTCCCCAGAGAGGCCCCCGCGTGACTTCTCCCCGGCCCGCTGATGGGGACCCTGGGCGGAAGGGGGCTGCTAGATGCTGCTGTAGCTGGGGTCTGGGAGACCCCGAACCTGGCACCCCAGAGAGCAAATAAAGCTTGAGGTCGCCTCCCTGTGTGTCCTTGTGCGCGTCACCCACAGCCCGGGGCCTGGGCGCGGAGAGGGCCCCACGCCCAGCGTGTCCCAGCCTCTTTGGCCTCCGCTGGCAGTGAGGGACAGGGACGAGCACGCCTGTCACGGTCCACACCAGGCCTTTGCCCCGCGGTACAGAGAGCGAGGCACCCACCCGGGCACACAGCAAGTGGGGCCGCGCTGGGATCTGATCTGGAGCCCTCGTGGACGCCGGCACGCGACAGCAGTGCCATCGCTCCCGGACAGACGGGGCGGCTGGGGCAGTCCCGGGCCCTGTCCCGGTCTGCACGGCACAACCGGGGAGGGGTGGGGAGGAGCCCAGGCCCGTCCTGGGCAGGGGCTAGCGAACCCCGGTTCCTAAAGAGGCTCCCGAAATCCAGCCTACGTCCTCCCTCCGGGACCTCAAGAGCCATGGCAGGGGCCCCCTGGGAACCCCGAAGAACACACCACCTTTTTATTATGTTTGTCTTATTTCTATGTTTACTTAGCTTTTAATTTGAAAAAGGGTCCTCCTAAGTTGCCCAGGCTGACCCTGAGCTTGCGGCCCTCCTGCCTCAGCCTGGGGAGCGTGGGGTGGAGGTGAGCTGCAGCGGGGACGCTGTGCATCTTGACCCGAGAGGGCCTGCGCCGCGCGTTGGGGCCCAGGGCCTTGGTGCGCGCAGGCTGAAGGGAGGTGGAGCCTGGGGGGGCGCTGTAGGTTGTTGGCTGTGCCCTTGGGGGCACTTAGGACCCGGCTCTCCCTCCCTGTCTGCCCCGCGGGACAGCACCTTGCTGGGACCTTCACAAAGCCTCCAAGAGCCTTGAGCAGCCCCAAGGACTGAGGCCTCACTTCACTTCCGTCAGCCCCACCTTCCGTTTCTCAGGGGCTTTGTGAGAACTCAGCGAGACCCACCTTTCACCACCCTTGATGCGGAGCCTGGCGCGTGGCTGTTGCTTGATCAGTAATTTGTCCACATAAAGTAAGGACCCTGAGGCCCAGCACGGGGACTCACACCTTTGATCTCAGCAGTCTGGGAGGCTGAGGCAGGAGGGTCTCAAGCTGCAAACCAGCCCGGGCCACTTAGTGACTTAGCAAGACTCTGTCCCAAAACAAGGACTGGAGATACGGCTGGGCGCGAAGGCCTTGGTACTGGGGTTCCATCCCCAGCACCAAGAAAGAAAGAAGACTCCCTTAAAGGGAACAGGAGCGCAGCGACCACTCCCCCCGTCTTCTGCAGCAGGGCCGAGGGGACGGGGAGTCGCAGGGTCACAGGACCAGGTCACAAGTGAGTGCTCCCAGGGCTGTGGCAACCGCAGGGAGGCGGCCCCACACAGCGGCGGCCGTTCCATCTCCCGGCGCTCAGATGTTATCTGGGCACATTCTCAGGCGTGGCGGGGCCGCAGGTGCGCTGAGCTCAGCGACACATTCCGGGCAGTTGACGGAACAGTCACGGACTGTTTGGCCCCCGCACGACATGGCCAAGGTCAGCGCCTGTGGGGTCTTTCCATGCAGCTTCTTTAGGGAACACTGGTTCACAAACTGTTGTTCTCTCCTGTTGCTGGACGTCCCCTAGACATCCAGGTACCTCTTCTGCCCTTCACGGCTGCCTGTGCGCCGGCCATCATGACCATCATAACACACTGGATAGCACTGGACTGTTTCCATGAAGGCCATGAGAGCAGGTGGGTCCCCTGGGGCCTCCTGTGTCTGTGGGCCCAGTGCTGTGCTGAGAGGTGGCAGGTGTGCCCTAAATCACACCAGGAGGAAGGAAAGTGGCGACCGCAGTGCTGGGAGACACTGGCGGAGCTGGGGTCCCCAGAAGGCCCCTCTTGCAGATGCAGCGCAGTGAGGCCCAGGCCAGGGGACCCTGGGGAGCCTGTGTTGGGCCCTGTTCATTGCACTTCCCTTGTGGCAGTCATTGTAGTACAGGACTGTAATCCCAGCCCTCTGGAGGCTGAGGCAGGAGGATCTCTGAGAGTTCAAGGTCAGCCTGGGCTACACAGTGAGACCCTGTCTCAAAAAAAGAGAAAAAGAAAAAAGAATATGGTTTCCTCGCTGTGGCTGGGAGCTCCCACCCTCACTCAGAGATGCAGGTCCCAGACTCCAGGATCCTGAACACCCTCCGTAGCTCCCCTTGGACTCCATTGGGCCTGGGAACCCCTATTCTTGCTGTTGACCCCACCCAGCCTCACTTTTCTCCATGCCCTCCTCTCCCAGGAAGCGCCGTCCCCATCTCTGCAACTAAACCCGAAGAACTCCTACCCA